CTTTCTCTAAGTTCCCCAAGTAGCTTTATATGAAGAGAAGCAGCACTGGGTTGTCAGGACAGAGGGAGAGTGCAGAGGTACGTGGCAGGTGTATCATCACGTGCGTGACAGAAACAGACCATCAGAGTATAGAGAGAATGTTGGGAAGAAAAATAACCAACTGCTCCTTGGGGGAGTGAGAAATGAAAAATGTAGACAGGTGCCAACTAATAGCTAACCATTCCTCCCTAGCTCAGGGGAATAAAGATGGGTTGGGACAATGGACCTAATCACTTTCTCAATGTTCAGATCATCTGGTATCAAAGGTTTTCAGACTTTTCTCAGGAACTAAGAAAATCCTTCACTTAGAGAAAATACGGCATAAGAAATTCTCCAGTTCTGTCAATTGAATAAAGTTTCTAACTGGAATCAAACTCTCTCAGCATATCCTGGGCTACGTTACAGGCAGGGCATTGCACTTTGTTTACTAATAAGGCATAAATGAATGCTACAAAGTTCTAAGACAAATTAATTTTTATTAATGTACAAAGTAGGGTTGCCAGATTTAGCAATTAAAAATACGGGAGCCCTGTTAAATTTGAATTTCAGATACATAACATATAAGTATGGGGGTATAAGTACGCCCCATGCGATATTTACGATGGACTTACACTACAAAAATATTCATTGTTTATCTGCGATTCAAATTTCACTGGGCTTATATATTTTCTTGCAACCCTAGTAAAATGCCTCTCTAGGCAACCCAGAGCCTCGGCATAATCATCAGGTCTATAGCAGGCCACGCTTCAAGGAATTAAGAAGTCATCAGAAAGGAATTTGGATTAACACCTGATAAATGTTTATTTGATAGTGAACAGAAATAGTGCATTTTAAGGATTATATGTCATTTTAAAAATTCTTCCTTTGGCAACAGCAAGTGAATCACTTCAAATATGTGTCTGTCTTTGGGAATCAGGGATATCATATAACCCCTTGTCTCCGTTCCCTAAATCTAGACTTAGGAACTTCCCCGACATGGAGAGAAAGTGACAATCTGGACAGCGAGAAAGGAGAGCTTTGCCTCCTCCTGCAAGGGCCTATCAATGCTACTTACTGAGTGTTCAGAAGGTGAGAGGAGAAGCCACTTTCCTAACTCTACATCCCTATGTCCTCCTGCGGCTGGGGCTTTCCCAGAAATCTCCCCAGGAACCTTTCTCCTCCCTGCTGCTCTTGCTGAGAGTGAGAGGTGGCCAAAAGAAAAGTCATCCTCATAAAACAACCAGCAATTGTATTTGCAAAGATTTCCTGCTGTGGCTAAATGGTGTGGCTACTTGGTTCCTTATTTAAAAAAGTGACCTTAGTGAGACCAGAGCTTTGTGGGGTGGATGGAGAAAGCCTAGAGGAGCTTAGACTGAGTGTGCCTAATTAAATTCCATTGATGTTTTTGAAAGTGCTGTGCCTGGTGACGATGCCCCAGACTTGAGGATGACTCCTTATCATTTCCACGAGCCCCAATCCTTTCTGGGTCCTGACAAAAAAACATGTTAAGATATTCTCAAGAGAGGCAGAGACTGGAGTCAAGAACCATACGAAGCTACATTTGGGAGAAGAAGGAGAAGACACTCGGGGTGAGTGAGGGATGCAGGCGTGTGGACAGGAGAGACACCCAAGAGAAGATGTTCAGTGGCAGGTAGATGCAGAACCCTAGAAAAGTCAGGGAACGGAGGCAGGAGAGAAAGTCCACAGAGGAAACATCTTAGTGCAGAAGTAGGTAGGTAAGTCTGAAGACACTTCCCAAGCAGCACACCTGGGTAATCCGGTGAAGCAGGACTCTTTCTCTCCCTGCTTCACTCTGGGGCCTGAGGAATTGATGAGAAACCTGCACCGTGTGAGCTTTGTTCCTTTGAGGACTGCCACACTTCAGAAGATGGAGGTGGCCTATGCGGCCATCTCGACAATAACCTCTAGAAACTCGAGGAGGGCTGCCTTCCTGAGCCACCCCATGAGAGCCTCTCAGGCCTCCGAGAGATGGCAACAAGCATGGTCTCAGAGCTGCCTGGTTGGAGACCGGGCTTCCGAGCTAACATTTACACTGCAAGGTAAAATAAGCCAGGAAGGAAATGATAACATCTGCACATCACTGTTTACCCAGAGAAAGTTTTAAGATAAAGCAGGCATTCCTGGACCATATTTATGGACTTCAAGGTAACATTCACTTGATTTCTTTGTGTTGTTTGGCAGATGTTTTAGACTCAATGATCCTTCATTGTTCGCTTTGGTTTTAATGAACGAACATGTTGAAAAATTATCTGAGTCAGATTTGAATTTAACACTAAAGACAGCAGGAGTACAAACAAATCCACAGAACTGAATCAACAATAAGTGTTTAAGGAGGATCTTTATCATCCTGCAAAAGGGCGCAGAACAAGTTGGTTCCTGAAGCGCAACTGCGTGTGGAGCCTTCGAGGACATTGTCCATCACTTCCTAGGCCACACATTGTGCTAGAAATGGGGACGGAGAAATGAGGGAGGTAGGAAGGTCACTGCTGTCGTGGAACTCACAGGGAAGGGAGATAGTAAAGCATGAAATTGCTGTGGTTTAAAGAGTGGATTTATTGGAAAAGTATAAGACGCAGTGAAGGCATATAAGGTGGCGACATTAGTCCAAGGCTCAGGAAGACTTCCCAGTGGAAGTGGTGCCAGGACTGAAACCTGAAGGAAGAGCATGGGGCAGGTAAAGGAGCCCGAGCACGTGTGTCTGGAAGGGAGTGGCACGGCGTGTGGTGTGCTCTAGGCAGAGAGAAGAAAGAACTGGAAGTGAGAGAGAGCATGGCGTCTTCCAAGAACCAAAGGAAGCTCAGTGTTGCAGGAAGGTACTGTTCAAGGCAGAGCATAGCATGAGACAGTTTTGGAAAGACAGGCAGGGCCCATGCTGTGGAAGGCTCTATAAACCACATTAAGGAAATTGGACCTTATTATAGGAGCAATGAAAAGCCACTGAAAGGTATTAAGCAGGAGAGGGATGAAATCACATTTTCATTTTAGATCACTCCAGCTGCAATGTAGATTGAAAAGAAGCAGAACTGAAAGCAGGAAGATCATGTAAGAGGATCCGCAGTAATGCAGGTAAGAGGTGGCCTGGGATAGGGGAGAGGAGATGAAAATAAGCACAGCATTCCAGAGGAATGGGGGACCAAACCCAGAGAAAACGGTTTGATTGGCATGAGGTGTCGGGGATATGGAATCAAGGGCATCTTGGAAATGTTTATTTTCTGCACCTTGGTAATAGGATGTATCCCTTACGGGCAGTGCAGATTTGGCTGGGAAAGGGTGGGAGGCTGATGGGAGAGAAGATACCAGTTCAGCTTTGGATATGGTAAGTTCTGAGGGCCCACGGCATCCCAAAGAACACGTCTGATCACAGTCAAAGATACAAACCTGGAGCTCAAGGAAGAGGTTCTGGCCAGAGATGTCAGTTTGGGGATTGTACAGACATTAATTGTATCTTTGGCAATGGATGAGAAAAGAAGAGGGTCTAGGACAGAACCCTGACCAACATTTAAGGAGGGCTGCCTCCAACATTTAAGAGATGTATAAAGAAACAGGAGTATGCTAAGGAGCCCAAGATGGAACTACCAGAGAGGGAGAAGGAAAATCAAGACTATCTGTGCCCAACAGGGGTAACATCTAGGGATGAGAGAAAGAGCAGAAAGTTCAAGGTAGGAGAATATTAGGACTGGATCACAAATACAGCTACTTTAAAGCTGGTTTGAGTTTTAACCCTGAATTAGGAGATTAGTCTAGAGACTGCATTCCAGCTGCCTTCCAGAAGCGACTATCAACCTTCGCTAAATGTATTTTAACATTCCCAGAGTACACTTTCTAATATTTTATTTCTTAAGCTGGATGGTGAGTACCTATATATTAAGTTTTTCTGAATACATTTCTATATGTCTGATAGGATTCAAAATGAATTTAAAATGGATGGCCAAAGCATTGTTGAGTGAAAGAAAGTCAGGTTATCAAACAGCAAGTATAGTCATATATTCATACATGTAAAATTGTAGATTTATACCCATATAGGTGTACGCACACAGATGTCTAGAAGGATTTTACTAATTATTTCAATAATGATTATCTCTGGTTAATTGAATTTAAGGTCATTTTTTATCTTCTCTTTTGTGTTCCTCTATTTTGTTTGAATTTTTATAATGTGCGTACATAGAAGTTTTACACAAATAATGAAACCACAAAAATACAATAGAGAATCTTCTACCCTATAGTCACTGAATACCCTTAGGAGGATACACTGCCATCATGGCTGGGTTACATAAGGCCAGGTCTTGCTAAACAAACCAGACTAAGAACAACCATAAACGCTTCCTCTGCAGTAGCATTCTCACTCTCGAAGGCAGGGAGAGGGAAAGCAAAGGAGATAAAAACCAAGCCTATTCTTTTAAGAGAAGAATACTCTTCATATACCTGCGGATCCATGTAACCTACTCTCCACTCCCTCTCCATACAGCAACGTTCCAAAGGAAAGTGGACTGGCCCTCCCTTATTTCTAAGCCTTCTGCTTCTTTCTTAGTGATTAAGTGGTCCTTCAGGATCAAAGAGGCCTGGATTCAACTCCAAACTGACCACTCACTTGCAACGTGACTTTGGATGATTTATGCCTTCAAGCCTGTTCTCTTGTATTATAAAATAGAAACAATTTTCAGAGCCTCCCAAATAGAGTTGTTTTGAGGATGAAATGAAGTCAAACACACAGAGTAACATCTAGCACATAGTAAGTGCTCAATAAGTCAGAATCATTTTGTATTTCTTAGAAAGAGCACACAGTGCAGCAAGGTTTGGATCCAAAGCACTCCCCCATCATGACCAATGGCCACCCCTGAGGCCAGTCTCAACCTGCTGCCATCCTGAACTGCTTTGCCCACAGTTTCTCAACCTCCAACCCCAGCCTTTGGAGATCTCTCCTCTGATCCCCACCATCAGCATGCCCTTTGCTCCACACTCACCTATTCAGCACATTGGACTGGTAGATTCTTTTCTCATGGGTATTGTAACAACTGCTTTTGGGCTCAGGGATGAAGCTGTGTTCGGACAGCATGTCAGAAGCAGCAGTGGTGATTATGGCGATTCCATCTCTCACTCTGGCAGGGAGGCCATAGTCCCACTCATCGTAGGATACAGAGATGAGCCCAGTGGGGAACTCCGAGGGCACTGTGTCTGTATCCCCTGCCACCAGACTGGGCACAATCCACGTGTAGCCATAGCCAGTCAGCCCTACTGAGTTAGCCACTTCGAAGATGTAGGTGGCTTCTTCCTTAGTACAGTAAAGAAGAATGATGGGGCTTTGGAGTTTCTTGAGCTGATTCTGGATCTTAGAATCTCCATCATCCAGGGACATGTCCAGTAGGAGGACTTCCTCCAGCTCCCAGCCCACAAAGCTATTCTCAATGGTGCTGCGGATCTTGTTTACAAAGTCCTGGTAGCCAGGGAAATAGGTGGTGACGATAGAAAAGATGTACCAGTCGTATTCTTCCATTATGTTGAGCATTACGGAAGCTTGCTGTTCAATTGATGGACCAAACTGGAAGAACATGGAGGATTCATCCTAGAATAGTAAAAGTGTAAAAAAAAAAAAAGAGAGAGAGAGAGAAAGAGAGAAAAAAAATCAAACCAAAGATGGTAATGGAGATTTTGAACCAATTGAATACAAAGTTTTGTGTTAATTATTTTTTCATATAAAATGGCTTTAACATTTTTTACTTTCAATAAAATACTTTTTTAATATTTGAATTGCATATGTTTGTAATATCTCTCTTCCTAAAACTATCTCCCAGACTTTGCAGAAAATCAACATAGATCTATACTCCCCTCGTCTGAAATCCTTGGTGCTACAGCCAGTGCCTACAGCAGCTCCCCAAAATCAAATATGTTAATATTCCTACAGCAAAACATATGGAAAGTCACATAAAGTGGAATAAAGACTTTCAATGGACTCATGGCAGTTCATATCCGGTATTGCTGTCAATGAGTTACACAACCACATACACACATGCTCATACAGACACATGCACACACACTTTCCATTTTTTGAGGATTTTGGATTTCTTGATTATGGATGTGTATCACTCAGTCATAGAGTGAATAATCCAAAATGTTCCCAATCTACACTACAACCCATCTATGGAGATAGTATAGGCTCACTGGCCCAGAAGGTGGATGGTACTCATGTACGGATATGAGGGAGATGCCCAGGGAGTGCAATATATGCTGACTAGATCAGTATATATTCTGTAAACAAAAAACTAATAAATTAATAGCACATTTAGTTTGCTCTCCAGCTTCTGCTCTGATATTAAGATAGGCAGGTTGGAGGAAGGCTCAAACAGCATATCTAAGCTACAAGTTAAAATGACTGGTATTCAACCAAGCTCATATATGATTAGGCTTTATTTCAGAGCAACATATAGAAAATTGCTCTTTCTCGTACCTACGGAACACCACAGGGTCTGACCTGTCTGTTACACCCATCCCTCTGTCAATTCTGAACGTCTTCTGTTTTCTCCTTCCTTTCCAGGGAGTAGCCATTTTAAATTTCTCCCATTTTAAGCTATATTTCACCTGCTGTTCTGAGATGTCAAGCTCTGCATTTTATCTCTACCCTATAGCTAGAAGAATCTGAAATCAAAAAATGAACACCCTCTCAGCCTTGTGTTTCTCTCTCAGTCCATTTTCCCCTGATTTCCTGGGTAATGGTACCTCTTTTCTCGGTCTATGCCCCCTATCTTTGATCCCATGGTTCATCTCCATTTTATAACAATCCAGGCTAACAAAATTGTGTCTTTCTCCAAGGGTCAGTTGTCTCTTATTCCCCAACAAGAGCTTTAAAGTACAGTTACAAGAGACCTGGGCTTTTAAACAAAATTATACAGTGATTTCTTAGCTCAGGAACATACTGTTGTACAGCTGAGAAATTGCTGAGTATTTCTTGGGCACCCACTATTGAAAAAAATACAGGTTGGGAAATAATCCAGCTGGTGTCCAAAAATCCTGACTCGGCAATGAGAGCTGCCAACTCCTAGGCTCTGCCAGAGCTACGTTTGCTTCTCATGGCTTCAACTCCCCCCTTTCCCACAGACTATATAGAATGAAACAGTGGGTGCTTGGTCATTTGGGAGCGATTCTTCTGGCCTAGGGTGAAATGGTGCTTATTGTGGCTCCCTTCTGTGGCCTTAAACATATGATTGAAGAGATGCATCATAGGATCATGGAATTCAGAAAAGTAGGGAGGGTGAAGCACCAAGAATGGATGAGTAAGAGAAAGGGAATTAATTCAGAATAGAATGATTATATCAGGTGTGTCCATTCCATACCCTGGCCAGCCCCTATTCCTAGACTTCTCCCAGGCAAAGCTGACCTTCTCCTTAGGTTATAAGACACAGTAGCACCGTGGTCTGAATATTTATGTCTCCCCAAATTCATATGTAGAAATCCTAATGCCCAAGGGAATGATGGTATCAGGAGATAAGGCCTTTGGGAGGTGATTAGATCATGAATGGGATTAGTGCCCTTAAAAAAGAGGCCCCCGAAAGCCGCCTTGCCCCTTCTCCCAGGTGAGGACTCAGGAAGAAGGTGTCTTCTATAAAGCAGATAGTGGGCCCTCATCAGACACCAGATCTGCGGGCACCTTGATCTTGGACTTCTCAGCCTCCGGAACTGTGAGAAATAAATTTCTGTTGTTTATAAGCTACCCAGCTTATGTTATTTTGTTATAGCGGCCTGAACGGACTAAGACAAGTGTGAATCCAGGACAACAAAACTTGATTATATCAAGACTTGTCAGGTGCCTACAGAGAACCACAACAGGAATGGAAGACCAGTGACAGAGCAGCTCAACCTAGAACAGCTAGCGCTTTAAAGAAACATCCGTTTGTTTTTCTTGTTAGACTTCCAGCTAAAGGGAATTTTTAGGATTCCCAAATGAGAAATATTATCACATGAGCTTCCACAAGCCCAGTGGTTATAGCAAAGTGAAAAAGCTTTCAAATACACCTTAAGATATCCAGGCATGGGATGAAAGAGATCCCAATTGCAAACAAAGTCAGTCTACTTATTCTGTGATAAATGAACAGACCAGATCTTGTCACGAGAAGGTTCTTGAATATAAGCAAAGCGCCATGTACGGTGAAACCACAGCTGGCTCAAATCCATAGCAAGCTCACAAGAGAGCCTTGAGAGAAAACCCATGGGGGTCCATGGTAAATGAGCTCAAGCTAATGAGATTGAATTTAAAGGAAAATAGTCTATTAAATACCCACCTGACCCTCCCCTGTTTTAGTCTTCTCTTAATACTCTCCCACAATTATAAATGGTTTGTAAAGGATACTGCCGGAAATGTTAGGAAGGGAGCCCATGAATGGTGAGAGTAAGAGAAAAATTAACATGGCTCCATCATACTCCCACCACATCCTTATCTTATCTCTAATTTTCTCGTCTTCCACAATCTCACCCATCTTCTAACCCCTCTGGCCCCATCAATGCCCAGCTCAACCATTTTATTCTGCCAGTCCTTCATTAAATAAGGATGCCTTATGTGACCATTTTATCTGGCACCAAAAAAGAAGTTAACGAAGCCAAACAGAAATCAAAAAACAGAGTTATAACGTAGGCCAATGTTTCCCGGTATAATGAGTAGTCCAGTATTATTAATTTAGTTGACACATCACTCTGGTGTATAGTGATCAGGAATGGAACAGCTCTTTTTCAACAAAGCTTTGAGCTAACTGTAAGTTGCAAACAGTGACAGGCTTTGCAAATTATGGCCATAGCCACAAATCAAAGGGCAATCTTCATGTGTGCATGGAGTGGAAAGGACTGGTGGCCAGGCATCTATCTTTGCAGGCATCCAGCATGCACTGTGATTACCACAAGTGATGGAGGATGAAGGACAGAGATATAATTCTGTTTGCAGCTCACTATGCCTCCCCACTTATATTTCTATCTCCTAATGCCATTACAAAATGTTGACCTACAGGGGTCCTTGGAGCAGTCTCCTCTGCTAGTGAAGATTTCCAAATTTATTGCATTGATATACTTCTGCAACTTGTCTTGCAAGCATCTTTAATGCATCCCTGTATAAGGGGCCACCTTAGCTGAGATAAGCAGTTAGCACAAGGAAGGCAGAATTGTAAACTAGACTCCAACAGTCTGGAATGTTTATGTCGGACTCCATCACTCTGACGTTCATGGTGTTTATTTGTTAATAAGAAGAAACAAAAAGTACTTTTTCATCTTATTATCTGTCTCAGAAAATAATTGCCTCAAGAATTAGCAGTAAATGAGATTCCTCTTCTGCGTCATCTAGATCCCCTACTGATCCACTTCAAAAATAAAATATTAAATGTCCCAGCTGCCGACAGTTCCCCGGGCAACAAGCTTCTGCTCAGCCCCCCTTTGGGGACTGCCTCACCTGAAGAGAGATGCTGGCCCAGAGTCATACCCCCTTCCTGGGGTAAATGGTGCTGAATGGCTGGTTGTCAAGGGTATAAAGACTCAATCTTCTTGCACTGACTCTGAATGACTCTGAAGGGTCAGTCTAGCTCGAGAATTCCCCAGAGAGTCAGCTGGAGCTTCCATTAAAACTGCATCACACCCGTACCTCTTCTTCTGCCCAGTCCTGCCTAATCTTCTCTTCCCTTTCATGGTGCTGATCTCAAGAGCACATCCTAATAAACCTCCTGCACATTGACTTCAGTCTCAGAGTCTATTTCCCAGGGAAACTGACTCTATCCGTTTCCCCTTTTTCAACATAGAAAAGAGACGGCTTAAAAGAGAACATATCTATTTTCAAATACTGAATGACATACAGTAGAAAGACAAGTCTTGGCTCATTAGATCCAGAGGAGAGAACTGGAAACAATGCACAGAAATATTAAAAGGCATTATTTGGCTCAATATAAGAAATAAATGTAAAACAATTATAGCTTTTTTAAATGGAATGGGCTTCATACGGTAGTGAGCTCATGGTTGCCATAAGTATTCACATAGGAGCTAGATTATTAGCAGCTAAAGGGTTTCTCCCCAGTACACGGGCTGGAAAACTTCATGTTCATCTTTAAGACCTAGTTGAAATGTCAGGTCTTTCATGTATGTCATCTTTCCTAAATTCCCCTAGTCAGGTTAGTTCTATCTCCACTGTACTTTAACATTTAGCACATGCCTCTATCATGATACTTATCACACAGTAAACATACATGTTTGTCTCCTTCCAGTAAAAATGCATGTTTCTCGAGAACAGAAAGGTGTCTTGCTCATCTCTAGATCCCTTGGTGGCACATGAAAAATTTTCCTAATGCTCATTGTATTAATATTATAAAGAAGTTTCCTTTACTGGGTGGGAAATTAACTGTCACGACCTTGATGGTCTTATCTAGTTCCAAATTTCTATGCCGATGGTACATATCTACCTCATGGAAACAAGGCATGCCTGAAAAGTTATACACACACTGCACTTTTTTAAAATGGGAGGGGATCCCTGCTGTAGCCAGAGCGGCAGAAAATGCTACTGATCACTTATTTACTCTCCTTTGCAGCAAACTCGTTGAAAGC